ATCAATCTCACGCACCAAAACGTGTAACTAAGCTTACCAATGCTTGACGTACACATTTAGATCATAAGAGTTACTTTCTCATAACAATGTGATTTTTTTTTCCAAAAAGGGAATCTCTAACTTTCAGTTAGTACTAAATGGTCAAAGAAACTTTTAAACACGGAGTCCAACTTGAAGACACGGAGTCCTATTTTATTGTAAATTGGCGTAAAGCGGAAACAATGATTCATGAAAGTGCTCTTAGGTAGCCGCAATACACGGAGGTGGAGGGGATGCATAATTACATAGACGTCACAACAGGGCGCAGTACGGGCTCCCAAGAATCTGAAATCAGAGATTGCAAGAAGGGCGTTTGATTTATTTAGAGCAAAAAATAGTAAACCTATACGTGACGTATGGGGGAGAAAATCAACTGCGCACATTCTTAGTCGACTTAAAGAATAAGGAAATACAGAAGCAATAAGTGATCGCTTGAAGTAAGTCTTCATGCGCAGAACAGTATTTCATAGACGTTCCTTATAAACTCGGAATGGGTGAAACATGGTAACGTGCCAATTGCACCATCATTTTCCTGGTTGAATGTCCACGAAGTGTACATACTCAATATTTTTAATACCTAAAGCGACTAGCATGACCTGCGCTTTACAGATTGTTCGTAATTGTACATTTTACACGTGATTATTCATGTTTCTCATATACGTTTTCGTAATGTGAATGATAAGTACAGAATTGAAAATATTCTGCTCAAACTTTGTCAACGCTTTCCAATAAATAATGGAGCGTCGGCTAAGAACTTATTTCAAACCAATTAAGAAGATGACAAATACGAAACACTTAAGGGAATGGACGACGTATCTTAATCGAAAGAGTGATCACTCATAGCACACTCATTTGAGAATAAGGGCTGTTCATAAGAATCGGACACTGAAGAAACATACATTTTTGTAGACATAGTGTGGATCTAAAACTGAACGGCTACCTCTCGACATGGCACGACACGACACAAAATGGCACGTTAATAACAACGCTCTCTCTAGTCTCGTTTTCGTGCGCGCCCGTAAACTGAAAACGGGTCACAATTCATGCTGACGTACGCGCTCTTCCACGTTTCCTGAGCCTTCAGCATGACACCACTGACGCAACGCATTGTACCAGGAGCACTTCGAGGCAGATCGACAGACGTTATCGGAAAGCTGCCGTCTCCATACCTTAGTTCATGTCTGCTTCTGTTCTCGATCTTTAGCTTTAAAATATTCTGAAACAATATCTCAAATTCTGACCCTTCGGGATCACTTGAAGTTCCATATTTATTTTAATATTATTAAAATACGATACTTATATTGTATATTTCATGCTATTTAAACACCATATTGCTATTGATAGTCATTAATACGTCAAACTACATTAATTAAAATTTTATTAATTCTACATTACAAATGTTTTATTTGAATATATGAATCTCGTCTTCTTGATTTATTCAGAGGGTAGCTCCTAACGTTTCTTAAGGAATTTGATGCTCCTAGACCACCATCAGAAGTGACCAACATCTTACCTGAAAGCTTGAGGAGCGGATTAGTCTAGTAAAGTAGTAATTGGCGCAATCCATGTCAAAAAGGAGATGATAATATGTATGCGTGTGAGTTAAGACATCAAATGCATGGAAATGAGACTATACAAAACAAATTTAAAAGAGACCGCGTTGTTTACTTTCATCGCGGTTTTAATTACATTAATAAAAGACTAAATGTTAGTTAAAGAATTTTACACGTAACTAATATTTATATAAGATAATACATATAATAATGTACCAACATAACCCTAAAGGAAAAATAAATGTTAGCTACCCGGTAACGAGATGGAAAGTCATTCTCTGGATGTGGAAACACACCTTAAGCCCTAAATCCTAAAGCAGAAGAAGACTAATATTTTTAAAGAAAGTTTTACAATGTACATTTCTTGCATTTTATTTACACGACACTGATTTCAGGCGAACATTCTCCTGATGACGGAATGCCAAAAGTAATAGGGCGTAAAACATCTCTAGCAGAAGATTGTTCAAGTTGTTTAAACGAACACGAATCATTTCTAGTGTTACTCACCAACCATGCCTCTCAATTTGGTTTGGCATCAGCGAGTCTCGAAAAACCGCTCACATCTCTGATCAGACCATACGCATGTTTTCAAATGGGTTTCTGGGTATGGGGACATTCCCAGCCCCCTTAAGACATTAAAACCTAAATCCTTGCTTAGTCCTTTGCCAAGGAATACGTGGGCTCTTCGTTCAAAGGGAACAAAGGAGCTCCTCTCTCTAGGAACTTGCTGATAACAGCGATACAGAGGAGGTACTCTAAGAAGGGACCGATTTCACAGTTCGAGAAACAAAGGAACGTCATGCAGGGTGATGACATGGCAAGAAGCATTTAAAAATATGCTGTAAACGAACGCACGGAGAAAATGAGTGCATTGACATAACCTACAATCATGATTCCAGCAGTGGCTAAGCAGCAACTGTCAAAGCGGTTCTTTCAAATAATCTCTCTATTGTTGCAGCGCGTGGCGATACATGTTAGCCGAAAAGTTAACTTTAAATTTTAAGTTTCAGGGCAAGTTAAATTTTTTAGTTACAGACAATATCGTTTACTTCTGGTGGTGGGAGGAGTACTATACTTTCTCATTTCCCTCGCTCCCATAATTCCCACGGTCAACGAAATGAAAAGCACATACAACACCCGTATGTCGGCCATAGTGCAAGGATCCGTCCGATATTTTTTCTGGCATACTTTGCACGCCTTAAGGTGTGTTTAAAAGAGTAGAACATGGGAAACAGAAGGATGAAAGGCAATGTGCGACAGTTTCTGCATATTATCAGACAAATTACAAATATAATGATTTATATTTTAGCACACAGCATTACATGTTACATCATTGACTGTGGTGATCTACAAATTATATAGTCCGCTAAGTGTAGTGCATATTTTATCGCTGTGATCTTCCCACACTGGATGGCGAGATCTGGCACCAATCTACCCGTCGGCTTGCAGGTTTCCCCAGCCAAGTATCTCCCACCAGTAGGGCACAGTCCAACAACTTTTAAGTGTACGCCTCCGAACAGTCTCCCGACATGTGTGGTAGTGTAGTGCATGTAAGTGTGTCAGTAAGTAAGACGTGATAAAAGGACAATGAAGAGGAAGGAAAGATAGCGCACGGGCTGTAGCCCGATTGTCAGGGAAGTGCTCCGGCTTTCGCTTAATTTTGATCGGAGAAACCATTTAAAACTACCGATCAGAGAATTCTCTGCTAGAATTTTCTTGCATACAGCGGCTGAATTCGACCTAGCTATGTAGCAAGAAGTATGAAGAAAATATTGCCATCATCGATTCTGGAAGCCTAGGTCTTCCATGGTTACATGCATCTCCCATGTAAACAATATTCTGCTGGTCCTCCCCATAAGTTGAGTTACCTCGCTTTTTTGTGCATCATTTTGAAGTTCCTTATTCATTCTTCCTTTAATATTGCAAACGATAAATGTAACAGTTACTTAACAAGTAAAGTCTAGGGGCCCAGTGTCTTGAAGTTCAACCACTCTTCCTCTACAGATATACTATTTCGTACCGCTTTCAGCGTCATCTATAGGGCGAAAATTGCCTAGCCTGAGGTAGCTTTAGATGACCAAACTATTTTTTGTAAATATAAATAATACATTAATATTTCAAATTAAAAAATATATTTACATTTGATTGCGGATGTATTATTTTCATTTATTCGCGCGTTATTAATTTACAATTTTCCCGCTTAATCTTCTTCAGGATTGAATGATCTCGCGCTGAGGCGAGACCATATATGCCGCGTCATTCGCTTCAGACTACTCTCCAATATTTATAGGCACTATGTTTTTACTTCACGCAATTGAATTGTAAATAAATGTACCCATAAGGGGTCGTCCATAAATTACCTAACGCTACAGAGGGGGAGGGGGTTGAGGCAGCGTTTCGCTGTGTTACGTAGGGGAAGGGAGGTATAAGTTTAGTGTTACGTAGCGTTGATATTTATTTCTTATCTTTTCAACATTTACTAAAATAACTCCTTTTATTCAATCTCATACCAAATTATTAAAACAAATTAAATTTTAAAAAAATAAGAAATTGTGATGTCATTCGAAATATATTTTTTATCAATGGTATGCAATTTTGTTCGGATGTACTAGATTTCGAAAAAATATCTGACAAACTGTTCTGTAGTAAATTCTAGAATTCAATTAAATCGGCACAATAGTATCTCGTCCATACTTCATCCACAACGACATATGCCAGCCTTGTCTCGCCAATGCATTCTTCCTCCACTCAAACATAGTGCCCATGCGGTCAGCATCACCAACTAATTCTAACTTAAATTATCATAAATTTTAATATATAATACAAATAAAATTAATATAAATAGTTTTTATTGTTAAATAATATATTTTTATTTGCTAAAAATGGCGGATCTTGTCACAGGCGTTACGTAATTATTTAGCAGGGGTTCAAGCGCTCGTTACAGGTGCGTTACTGGGGGGGGGGTCAAAATACTCCGAATTTGCGTTACGTAATTTACAAACAGTCCCTAAAGTGTGGTTATCAATATTCAAAAACTATAAATTTTCGAAATAAAAGAAAACCCATTTGCATCAGCAAACGAACCTGGTCCTAATCTTATTGCAACAAGCAAAAGGAAACCTCAAGAAAACTTGCGCCTACTGAAGCTATTTTTATGTCCACTAGCAAAACAAAAGGCAACTGGATGAAAATTCTAATCGAGATAGTGGTATTTGGCCCAGAGCTCTATCAGGATAACCGTGTTTCCCATGTGTTCATGTCTCTTGAACTCCCCACTTTGAAACATTCAAATAATGAAGCTCGAACGGACATTCCATACTCTCTGATTCCATGTCCGAACAGCGAATATTTCACCCTCTGGATGACAATGTTGGCACTACAAGAGATTTCGTTCACGGGAGTCACGATCCCGTGAACGACCAAATGAACGACCGTTTCTCCATAAACCCGTGAACGACTAGCTTCAAATAATACGTTGCTCATTGCGTATGATGTAATGTGGACAAGCGGCTGTATTCAAATTTGCAAAGCATATGTGAGTAGCCAGTTAAAGGGCAAAAAACGTGTAGCTAAAAATGCGCGGAAGATCACGAACGCATTCGCCGTGCTCCCAAGATTCGATGGACAAAGAAAACTGCCCCGATTCCAATATACTGAGAAGAACACGACGTCGTTTACAGCAACGGTTTGATAATAATTATTGCCGTGCTCCTGAGGAGAAACAAAATGCTGAAAAATCTTGGAACGCTTTTACCTTGCCAAGTGTGACCGTTCCTCGAATTCATCCGGCGCGTGTTCTGCGTTCAGGCGCCAATACATTGTCCAGAACCCTGAACAGTGTACAGACGACTTTTGGCTCTCTCTCACAGGTATGTTCATTATTAATTATGGATGAGATCTGTAAGCGCATGTCAATGTTAGCCTATCATTCCTTTGGGTTAGTCTTTTCAATTTTCGTGTTGGGATGTGTGCGACTTTAATAGTATGATTTTTATGATTCTGTAATAAAAATGTATGGTTAATTTGAGTGACAAATACAAAATAAGCTATTGAACGCTTCCAAGACATATGTAGACTGTAATGCTTGGCATTCCTTCATGGATTCATACTAATTATTTCTCTTTTTCACCAGAAATTCCGAAGATCTACCAAACGACGCCATCAATTTAAAAATGAATCCCCATGTACTCCAGTTACTCCACAAACAAGGTCCCGACACATATTAGGAAGGACTCCAACCAAATTATATAGCCCTTTTGGTATTGAATCTCCATGTAAGAAACTTAGAGACAAAGAAAATCACTGTATGACTGAAAAACCCTTTGAAACTCATAGGTAAGTGTGAAGAGAATTCTTGACTGCTTTAGTTATTTCCTTGACGAACTAATTTTTGTTATTTTTTGTCTCAAGGTATATACCAAGAAAACTGATTGAATCTTCTAAATATAATTACAAATGTACAAGAGTGATTGCAAATGAGACTATGGTAAATGAAAAGAGAAATTTTGATCCTGATGTGGAGGAAGTTAGAATTGGCATGTGGGAGCTTCGTCAAACTGCTCATAGCATTGTGAAACGATCATTGCAACAGTGAACGTTTTAATGTGTAGTTTGTAGAAAACATATCATTGAAAAATAGTGTAATAAAATATATCAGTGTGTTTAATGTCAGATTATGATCTGTTTAAATCTCAAATATTTCCATGTAATGAAAGGCCAGAAGGGTAATGTTTAAGTATTAGTGTAACAGTGAAAGTTTGTGTAACATTTATATAATATTGTATGTCTGAACCTGAATGTATTTATAAGTAATTTATCTTTTCCACTGTAAAGTCAATGTGTTCAAAACAGAATTTTAACTACTCCCTTTTCCATTATTTAAGAAACTATTAATAAATGTAATTAAAAGTATATCAAAAACTCTTAAAGAATGTGAGACCAAAAGGCAGCTAGTATTACAATGTAATGTTACTGTAAACAAAGATATGGTACAAAGTGCAGCTCATAAGATTAATCTGCATCACTAATATCATTTATGAACTGTATGAAACATGCATAGTTTTGTTATTATAAAACGTCAGTTACAATTATGATTCAATTTTCATAGTTAACAATTAAATTGATGCAAATAAATAGTTTTATATATTTAACAATTAATCAACTGTAATTAATTTATAGCTTTAAACTTGTCTTCTGATACTATAATGCAGTTGGTAGTTTCTGTATAATTTTTTAATGTTTTCCTGCAGTTGCTAATAATTTAAAGTAATAAAACTATTAGTTTTTGTATGTATTGTGATAATTTTTTTAAAACCCCAATAATATTGTCTTTCTTCCACTTCATTGTTGAAGTTTATTACCTCCTAACAAGGTTTGAACATATTGTTTATCTTAAATTTCTTTGAAAATCTAAAAATATATTAACTGCTTAAGAAAAATATGTATCAAAGGTACTTCATTCCAACCTGTAGACTGTCAACGTCAAAAATATGAAAATCTCAAAATGACCTATGAAAAAATGTGATTTTGAAAAAAATCAAGTTTGTTGATCCTGTGATTGAGTACAACAAATGTATACAACCAAATTGCAATTGAAGGGCTCTTGCACACGAGCATTGTTGACATTTGCCCATGCAACATTTGTGACACTTCCAAATTGTAAATTGACTTGGAGTGACTGGCTGTTAATAACCTAGTTATTTAGCAGGTATGTTTTATTTGCATATATATTACATCCTTTGACTTTTCTTTCCAAATCCATACAGTTTAAAGGTACAAAAAAGATCAATCAACACAATCAAGTTTACATTTCACAAAGACAAATAGGAGCTTCACCATTTCTGAGAAATTTATTGAGCCTTTAGTTTCAGACAGAAAATCACTGTTTATATTGTATTAACTTACGTTTTAATTTAATTTAAAATGTAACTTAATTAAATGATACCACTCTTAGTTTTGACTTATATTGATATACTTATCTGATAAATTTAAATGTAGGGAAAAAGGGTATCAAGAGCAGCAATAAATTCGTTAAAACATGTCAACAATTTTATAGTGACATGGATTCATGCATTATTAACATTAGTAGCAGTTTTATTCGCAATTGAGGGCAAGTTAAATAATGATGGATGGAATTTTAAAGATGAGAGTGAAGGTAGGCTGCATGCATACATAATATAAGTGAATCTAAAAAAGTTTGTTTTTTGAGCGTTAAATACTGTAAAATCTAAAAAAAAAAAAAAAAAAAAAATCTTACATCTTTGGTATTGTGGAAGTTGTTTTATTGCAAAATTTGGGCTTATAATCTGAAACAATAACCATCACATATTGGGTTACAACTATTTTAATGGGCTTGCTTAATTGATTATTACTGCTCCTAATTACTAGAAACCTTACTAAATCAGAGGAGTGGGTGGGAGAGAAAAATCCTAATTTGTCCACAAAAACAGGTGTTTCTAACAAGAGAAAAGCTGTTCCAGTTTACTTTTTCAGCTATCCTATTTTGACATGAATAAAAAAAGGCCAAGCATGTTTGTTTTGTAATTTTCAGATGCACGAGATTCCAAAACTATAATTGACAACTTATCATTTTAGTTTTTTATTAAATGACAAGAAAGTTGCATGTTCAACTACAATATTAAAAGCAAAAACCTAAGACTTAAAAATTTACTGTAATTTTCTGGAAAATGACATCAGTTTTATTGTTCCCAGAGTTAGCGATAAACTATTCCAACATAAAATACATTTGGAAAACACTAATGAAAGATCAGTAAATACTCATTCTAAATGGGGGAGAGTTCAATGAAGCATTTGTGTCCACAAATTTAGCAAACAATATACAAGAAAAAGTATTGCCGTCACATGCAGTTTATTTGAACATAAAACATTTATCACCAAATTACATGACCACATTTTATTGACAGCAAAATAAATAAAAGTTTCATAAATATGTACATCCAAATTATGAAACTAAAATATTGATTTCCCTTCAATTCAAATACTTTTTGTGTGAATTCATTTGTCACATATTATAATCACAGATAAATCTACCTCGCAACATTTGTATAGTATACAAATTTATGTTTTAAGCCAAATTTTACAATTATGCATGTGTAGAGAATGATAGTACTTTAATCACTGTCATCAGAAATATGAATTTCTGAATCACTGTCAATCCTACTTTTTTCTAAAAGACAAGGAGGGGAAATTAAGATATCAGATTTTATTGTTCTCACTGCGGTCAGTAATTCCTCTGGGCGATGTGGAAAAAACCCCTTAGGACACCATTTGATAAGTTTTGAGTCTCTATTTCTAGAACACCACATCAGTTTCATAGTTGGCACTACTTCTAGAATAATATCATTTTTGGGTACACAATAATCTGAAAGAAGATTCTCTACAGAAATACGATTTTCAACCGCTATCCTCAAATCATCATTCCACTGAGAACCTCTCAGAGGTTTCCATCTTCGAATGGGATCAATATTTGACTCCATGAATCCACAAACTGCAACGCTAAAACCTACTGTAGAGAGAAGTTCCTTCTCTCTCCATTCAGACATGATTATATCAGAATCACTAAGATATTCTGCAGCTTTGGCAATACATTCAATAGAGGAAAAGATATCCAAATAATTGGAATGAGCCAAAGATACAAACTGGTTGGCATAATGACAAAATTCTTTGGCTATTTCTAAAGGTTTGTGAACTAAATTGCCACGAGGATCAATAAATGTGTTATTACCTTTCTTGACAACATCATTGGGTACATCACGTTTTGCATACAAAACACGTCCCACAGAATGAAATAAACCAGTTGTTTCTCTATCAGTGTCTTTTGAAGAACTATTTTTAGTTTTATCTTGGTTCCTTGATAACTTTTTATTTACAGAAGATGTAGATTTCTTTGGCTGGGATGAATTAACTGACAAAATATTCAAGTCATTTATAGCTTTACGAACATCTCCTCGAGATTCAGTTGCTATATCACGCATTAATTCATCACTAACTGAAACACGCAAAATCTGCACAACACGTTTTAAGGCTTTCACAACACTGGTCACTGGCACAGGCAGAAAAGACATCTGTAAAATTCGATGTCTTTGTTTGAATTCCTCGCTAAAAAGTTCATACGCAATATCTTTACTTTTCTTTTTAACAGATTCAGTGCAAATGAATATTACAGGTGTGTGTCCATGACCAACATACATATCAATAATTTCTGTGAACTGGTCAGGAGACGAAAGAAAACATGTAGGAAAATCTTTAACAAGTATTATTCTTCTGGATATGAATGACATACTATTATTGGAAACAACTGGTGCATACCTTCCTACACCAAGCAAAAAACTTTTAAACTTATGAGCGACACTTACTGACTTGAGATATTCATTATTATCTGAACACTCATATGAGTCAATAGGAGTAGTCCAATCAAGAAGTTCTATATTTTTTTCTTCAGCTAAAACACGAACACAAGTAGTCTTTCCACAACCTGGCGGGCCACATAGCAACAATAAAGACACCCTTCCAGCAGTTGTGGCATGGTCAATCCAATCACCGAGATCTTTAATGCGATTGCGATTGATAACCAAATCATCACGTCTTTTAGGATCACATATGTTGCTACGACACACACCGAAACGGCGCACTTGTGTATCACTGTAATGTCTTTTCATTATAAATGTTTTTAAAGACAGTTCAATTGATTAATTATTGTTTTTGTTTTCAAAACATCAAAATTCATTTTACACACTAAAACAAGTTAACATACCTGAAACAAACGTGATTTGTCAGTAACAAAGTACATGGAAATTTGTCGAATATTAAACAACAATAGGGCCTATGACACTTAAACGACAGAGCGCAGATGTAAAATTATAATTCGCCGCAAATACCCTACGGGCAACTCACATTTCCGGAGCGTATGATTCTACTCCTTTCATAAGCGAGGCGCGATCTACCCGAGCCTCACACCACCCACCACCTCACACCGGCATTGCCAACAGATCTCAGTGTGTTACTGTTGCCGGTTGCCAGATCTCAGGTGTTACTGTTGCCAACCATGTCCGCCTTTGCATGCATTGTTTCGTATTTGTACTTATTAGCAGCGTTTTAAAACTGATAGAAACTTCTTAATGGAAAGGAAAGGAATTTAAAAATAGACTGCGACTTACATCCAGTCATATAGTTTCAATTATTTTTTATTGTTCTTAAATAATCAATATTTCTTCAATTTATTGTTCTCAATAATAGAAATACATTCTCAATAATTCTAAATTCTGAATTTTTAAGTAAGTTCTCAATAAAGAAATTTGTTACGACAAAACGAGTTAGCGTGCATCACAGGGGCTAGTCCAACCCCTGTGAAGCGTCCTAAACCCTATCCCTACCCCTATCCTTATTCCTTCCCATTTCTGGCCGATAGGTATTACGCAGGGCGCGTGCGAGGCGCGAGCGTGAAGACCCTTAACTTGGCTGCGACCGACTACCCAGCGGCTCCCTAAAGGATGCTGGGTGCATAATAAAGAAGGATTACTCCTACAGGAATTAACGGAGGATTGCTCCATGGTGCTTTGAACGCTCCTAGGAGCTAGGAGACAAGTTGCGTTGATATTAGACGCATTTAAATAATAATTATAATAATAATAATAATAATAATAATAATAATAATAATAATAATAATAATAATAATAATAATAATACTATTGAATTGAGTCACACAAAATTTGAAGTGCTCTATGGACGACTAAGTTATTGCTTTCTAGTTAAGTTTAATGCCAGTCAGGGCCAAATTGAGAGTCAACTGCCCTATCTCCGGATCAATTTTGGATTAGTGGTTTCCAGAGGCGGATTTATGTAATTTGCCGCCTTAGGAATTTTTTTGCCCCCCTC